TTCTAGTAGTACTGTCACCTCACACCTCTTCTGCATAGAGGCTGGGTTTTGGTGTTGCTGGTTAAACAGTATGTCATCCTTGTTAGTCACTGTTAGTGGGGCAAACTAAAATCTATCCTCTGGCTAGTTCTACCAGCTGGGTTGGGTTGGAGACAGATTGAGAAACCAGCTGTGCAACAGTGGTGCAAGGGCTGGCATACAAAGATTTCCATTACCAGGGAATACTGTATTGCGTTTATGAGCAAAGCTCATTCGTTTACTGGAAGAGCTGTAGGTCTCTTTCCAATATCTCTTCTGTAAAAGAGGCTTGCTGAGCTGTGTGTGTGTTTACATATTTATTTGTCTGTTTTGTTCACTTCCATAACCTTACATATTCAGATGTTCTTATACAAATCATTTATGCATATGTCTTGCATATACACAGCTAGACAAACCAATGAGTACTACCACATAGGAATAAGCCCACTTTTAAGTTGACAAAGTTTTTCTGCCTGCCAAGTGCAATTACTAGTTTTCTTGGGTTGCTCAGTAATTTTTAAGGCAGATATTTTCTACCTACTGCCTGGCAAAATCTAGTAGTTATTTGTATCAAATGCATCATGAAAGGGTACTGCATCAGCACTCAATCAGTCAGCAGTGTCACCAGCTACAGTATTTCTGTCAATCTTTCATGATTCTTTTATAAAGAGAAACATTTTCATATCAAATGAGTCAAATTGACATGGTCAGGATTTTATTAGATCCAGACAGAGGGAAACTTTCACTAAGTAGTTAATTGTACTCAGGGAGAGTTGCAAAAGTAGCTTTTCAGCAAGAGGCTATAGTAGAACTGGGAAGGGACTGTTAAAGAATGGTTCTAATTTGTGGACTGAGGAATAATAAATTATTTTCTTCCTCAGACTTACTCCTGGACAATTTGTTCATCTCCTCTGTACTTATTTTTGGGGCGGTTTTTTTGGTTGTTAAATAGAGATGCAGAGCAGAGCAGAGCAAAGAAGAGAGTCCTGAGGAGAAGGACTTGGGGGTGCTGGTTGATGAGAAAATGAACATGAGCCAGCAGTGTGCGCTTGCAGCCCAGAAAGCCAACCGTATCCTGGTCTGCATCAAAAGGGCCATGACCAGCAGATCGAAGAAGGTGATCCTGCCCCTCTGCTCTGCTCTTGTGAGACCTCACCTGGAGTATTGTGTGCAGTTCTGGTGTCCTCAACATAGAAAGGACACGGAACTGTTGGAACAAGTCCAGAGGAGGGCCACGAGAATGATCAGGGGACCGGAGCACCTCCTATATGAAGATAGGCTGAGAAAGTTGGGGCTGTTCAGCCTGGAGAAGAGAAGGGTGCGTGGAGACCTCATAGCAGCCTTCCAGTATCTGAAGGGGGCCTATAGGGGTGCTGGGGAGGGACTCTTCATTAGGGACTGTAGTGATAGGACAAGGGGAAATGGGTTAAAACTTAAAGAGGGGAAGTTTAGATTGGATATAAGGAGGAAATTCTTTCCTGTTAGGGTGGTGAGGCAATGGAATGTGTTGACCAGGGAGATTGTGAATGCTCCATCCTCGGTGGTGTTCAAGACCAGGTTGGACAAGGCCTTGGGTAATATGGTTTAGTGTGAGGGGTCCCTGCCCATGGCAGGGGTGTTGGAACTTGATGATCTTAAGGTCCTTTCCAGCCCTAACTATTCTATGTTTCTATGATTCTATATGTAATGCAATAGTATTATCTATGTGATATGTACTGCTTCTGAGTTTCTAAAATTGCCCGAACTGGAAAGATGGAGAGAATAGTCACTTTAGATTGAAGATTTTCTTGCTTTTCTCACTTAAATGAAGAAATCATTCTCCTAATTCTGAAAAAAAAAAAAAAAAAGTTTATTTTGGGGCATTTATTTTGGGGTGTTAATCACTATAAAGAATAGTTTTGAAGTGAAATCCATCTTAGTGTTCAACTCTAATATTTAAACCATTTGAAAAATCTGCAAGAGTTTACACTGGAAAATACAAGGCTGTGTTTAAGAGCATGAAACATTTACCAAACTTAAAATTGGTGATTTTTATCTGTCTTTCTTTTTGTAATTTATTAAATGACGCATTCCTCCAAAGATTCAGAAAATTCTAGTGCTCAAAGCCTCCAGCCAAGTTTTTGATTCCAGTGCTGCACAAATAGTGTGAGAAAATTGACAAGGCAGACAGTAAGTGAGAAATGAAGACTTTTGGTCAGGTTATGTGATTTTTCCGCTGCAGAAGAAGAAAAAAGGTATCTTATTAGCATCCTGGACAAGTGCCCTGCTCACTGATTTGCCTCAACAGAAATGGCTGTTGGGGTCAATGATGCCATTGGGCACTTGCAAACGCTCTCTTCTGAGAAGATCTCACAGCCATCACTGAGAGGCTCTGCTTGAGGAACAAAAATACATTTTCTGAACTGAACTACTCTGTCAGGAAGAAGCAAAGAAACTTAAAAGTGTACAATTAAAGATACTTTGAGGGACAGATGTCTGTGAATTACTTAGAGGTTTAGAGCACCCTTTGTCACCCTCACTTGAAAGCTCAAGAAATAGGGTTTTCTTTGCAAAGCCCTGTTTTAAAGGCAACCAGTATATTGGTGGTGGTTGTGTGTGAATGATGCTATATAAATATTCTCTGTTGTTTTTTGAGATTAGAGATGCACTGGGTAAAGATATCTGGTGGTAATGACAAGGGTCAATTTATTGAAATGCAGATTTCTGAAGAAGGTTGAAATTTGGGAATATTCACTTGGGGATGAGATTGTCGATCCAGAGAGAGAAGTGGAGACGTATTCACTTGCCTCAGAACATAATGCTGCCTAGAGATTTAGCACACTTGTTATTTTTCGTGGGGTTTTAAATATTTAAAACAAAAAAAACCACAGTGGCTCTCTTCACCTCTCCCTCATTGTAATGTGCAAATGTTAAAAATCTCCAGATTCCAAGACAGCAAAATAGCATCCTGGCCAGTTCTCTCATCCGTGCATGTTGTTAATTTATTTGTCTTTCTGACCTAGTGATTTTTTTTTCCTTTTTCCTTTCTTTGAATAACACAATTCTTTCGGTCCTTAAGAATAAAGAATGAAACTCTTTAGTCTTAAATATGAGTAAAGAGAAAGTCCAGGCCATTGCAGGTGGGAAGATGGATTTTATAGGAAGCCCTATACCACTGCTTTGAACTCAGTGTAAGACTTATGTCCTATCTAAAGCCATGAACACAGACTGTAAAGCAGGAGTTCATTTCTGGAACACTTTCTTTTTTCTCTCTTCTTTATTTATTCTTCAAAACTTCTTTATTGTCCTTAACTTCTGTTTCTACATTGATCTCTGCTGCAGCATATATTACTTGCCTTCTTTTCTCCCTTACAAGCCAGTTTTCTATTTACTTCCTAAGAGCCTTCTGAACCCGTGATGCTAGATGATCCTCCTTGACAAGTTTTTTGACACTTTCTTGTAAAACTTTCCTTTTATCCTAATATAACAACTCAAAAAGCCTGGTTAGGTTTAAGCTGTTTTCCAGCATGTCTCAGAGTGCAGAACTTCACCCAATTCCCATTGCACTGAGTTTTTGATTTCCCAATAGATGACCAAACATCTGGGGAACTCCCTCCAAACTTCTCATCTTTCCCCTTCACCAAACCCTTTTTATCCTGTTCCATAACAACTTGTTTGTCAAGCCTTTGCTATTCTGTTCGCACACTGTGGTTTCCTTGCTCAGAAGTTCTTCCTAAGCCTTGGTGCTCCATCCTTTCTGAAATGCTTGCTCCCTCCTACCACTGGAAAATGGAAAGTGGCCATGCTTTTCTTCCTTGTCCCCTCAGTTGCTCATCCTTCACTCCAAAGGTCTCCTCCACTCTCTGTGCCTTCCCCTCTACTGTACATCCGATCCCATCAGCATGAGTGGCTGAAAGATGTGATAATTGCCTCTGTGCCTTGCTTCTCCCAGGCTGGGCTCACAACCCTTCCTTCTCTCACTCTCCTCACTCTGTTGGTCATTACTCCAGATTCCTTTGTTCTAATGCCTCCCTCATACCAGCTTTTATTATTTCTCTTTTTTCTCAAACCCTGCTCAGGATCCAGTACTGCAGCTACTGGACTGGGTCCCTTCTTCCCCCTCCCTGTCCAAGCATCTCTGCTCATCCTCAGTTCCACACAGTAAAGGCAGGAATTGCTTTGCTTTACAAAAAGCCAGAGGAGTTACGTTCGTCTGATGGCTTTTCCTTTCCTCCCTGGCTCTAGTTTGCAGCGAGTATTTTTGCAAAAAGTGCTCATCCCCGAAGCTAACAATAAAACTGTCTCTGCATGTGTGTGTGCGTGTGTGTGTGTGAGAGAGAGAGAAAAGAGAGCGAGGGAGGGAGAGAAAGCAATACAACAGTCTGGCAATGTGAGGCGGCATTGGAGAGCTGCTAGACCAGGGGAGCTGGCTAAGAGACGCAAGCCCCTTACTCTGGGCTCAGTGTGATCCCATTGGTTCCTGAGCTGCTGGTTTAAAGCAAAGAAGAGCTCGGAGGATTGAACTGCACAGCCAGACGCAGACTCTCAGCCAAGTTGTCAGCACGCTGGGAAGAAGAGAGGCTTGCACACACGAGACTGCAGGGTGTCCGCAGCTTGATATTCATTTGTTTCCAGAAAGGAGGAAAGGAGAGGGGACAAAAAAAACCCCAAACAAATCAAAGACCACCACCAGACAGAAAAGGGGCAAGGAGCCTGATCCAGTCCAGCAGTCCCAGGGTGAATAATGGATGAGACCGTATCTCAGTTCATCTTAGAAGAATTTGATGTCAACTGCAGCCTCCTGGATCATTTACAAGAGACTTTTTTAGAGAGTTCCTCTATCCCTTTCCTGGGCTTTAATGGTAGGAAACATTACCTAGCGGAGGGCTCGGGAAAGCTTTTTAGGTGCAAAGGTTCGGTTTGCTTTGTGATGCAAGTGTGTCAGTTTTGTGCTCTCTAAACTGCTTCTTTTCCCCTTTCTGTCTCCTTTTTTAATGTAAAAGGTCTGTACTGCAATGCCACCACTGATCAGATCGGGACCTGCTGGCCCAGAACCTCTGCAGGGGAGCTAGTAGAGAGACCTTGCCCCGAGTTCTTCAATGGGATCAAATACAACACTACAAGTAAGTACAAACTCCTTTCCTTCTCCCACAGATCTGGTGTTGAGAAGCTGCCTGGGGAGATCCAAAATATATTTTCCATTAATAAAAAAAAAAAAAAAAGTGTTTTCCTGGGAATCAACATTTCTTCTGCATTCCAGTCTGTATATTCAAAATTCCTGCCTGGAATGATTCAGATTTCTCAAAAGCACAGACTTTTGTACACTGATTCCTCTTTACTTAAGTGTATTTAGGTTCATCTGGGAAAAAATACCCTTTGCAGTCTAAGGAGTGTATGCTGTGCTTTGTGTGTTTACTCACATGTAGATATGCATAACTGAATGTATTTGTAGCAGTGTTTCAGACATTTGGATAATTAAAGATCCTTCGGCTTGTGAAGTACTTACTCTAAACACCTAAAAGCTGTGTTTTGGAATGATTCTCCCTTTGAGGGGCTGGCTGTGTGAACAGGGGGACAAACTGGACTGTAAGTTGTATCTGACAAACAGAAGGCTGAGATCTGGAATATGTTAAGTAACTTCATCAGCGTTGGCTTATGAGTTGGAGTGGCTGCGTCGTTACTGCAAGGGAAACAGTATAGGATGTTATGAAGCAAATAATATTCAAAGCAAGGGAGCATGGGGGCTCCTTAGAAATCTCTTGCTTTAGAGATGCTTTAGTCTTAGAGGTAAACAATCGTGATGACTCACTAAACATTTATTATTCAGGCAGTTGGACCCAGGCACTCATTTCCTTTTCCTTATCTGTCAATACTGGTTGCACTTTTTGTTGAGAGGTTTTAAGATATTAGTCCCAAATATGTGTACCCACTTGTTTGTCACTCAGTACTCAGTGTGCTTTTGACTGCAGAGACGTTTCATTGTGTGTTTTCACTCTGAACTGTTGCTCAGGTGCTAGTAGTCTAATTTTCAGGTAGTATTAATTCTGTGGGGTTAGCATTCTCAGGAAGTCATGTAAAAGAATGACCCTGTCATCTTAGATCTTGTTTTTTAACTAACTGAAAGTGAATTTATTGTTTCTCCAGCTTTAAGTGTTAAGGGTAAGAAAACCCGATGAAAGTTCAGAGTATTTGGTATGCAAAACAAAGCCCTCTTCCAGATTTGTTCTTAGGGACCAGCTTTTGTCATCCCTAACTTTGAGCTGTGTAAGGAGGGTTACTTCAGAGAACTGCAAGATCATCCTCAAACCCTGTATTCTCTGACCTAACATCCTTGCAATAAAATAGATGGGAACATGCAAAGGGCTGGGTTATGCTGTCTTTGATTATAGAAGGTAGTCCATTACGTTTATGGTCTCAGTTGAGCTCAGGATAAAATTTCTGAGAATTAAGGACGGACCAGACAAGAGCAAGTGTACCAGAATGGACCCTAAAAAATACCTCAAAGAAGTATGGTGGGGTTTTCTCCAGTCTCCTTTCTTTAGTGGGGGATGTCAGTATTTGCATTGCCTTATTTTTGTTTCTCCAAAAGGAAAGAGGGAAAAAAAAAAAAAAAGAAATGTCCTATTGATGATTTCTTATTTATATCATAATCACAGTGGAGAGAATTTAAATGTTTTTCCCATGCACGGAAGGAAAAAAGTCTTATTTTTATGAACTTTGTTAATGCTTTTAGTAGTTCATCAGTGACATCATTTAAAGTTCTTCCCTGCTCCTCTCCTTCTCAGTGGTGGCTAATGCTTGCATAGTGCTAATAAATTTTCTTAAATCCATTGCTTTTAAAAGAATGGCATGTTAACTAAAGACTGATGAAAATATATTTTCACAATCCTCATATATTATTTTATCATAGTCTGGGGAAATGGACATTTTGCTCCTTTCAACATAAAATATGAGTAGTCACATTGAGAAAATGTGCATTTGCAGGACTGATTTGTAGTGCATACTAGTGCCCAGATGTAGTAGCATATGTAGGTTGCAATAGAGAAATGAAGTACATTGAAGCCACTGTATGTATGGCTTTCAGTTGATCTTATACCCTTCTGTCTATGTAACTGCTCCGAGTTGTGGCACAGAAAAGGAAGGGAAGGACCATACTAAAATTTGAGTCAACTTGTAAAATCAGTACCTTATGGGAGTTAGCAGTTGGTGATTAAAGCTGGGCAAAGCAGTAGGACAGCAGGTTAAGATTCGAATACAGTGGTGTGAGCTCTTTTTTGATTTAGAAGACACAGCAATTAGTACATTCAGATCACATCTATAGTTTGGGATGGCCAAATACTGACATGATCTTACTCCTACTTGCATGATTTCACCACATTAGTTTGTGGGCTGACTAGAGTGCCATTTGTAATGGGACTTCATATCTTTGAAACCTAGACTGTGTACCTCATGCAGATAATAAAATAGGCACAGCCAACTGATAAAAAAATGGAAAATCGATCTTGCAAATTTCAGAGGTGAATAATACAGCTGCAAAATGAAAGTTTGATAAGGAAGGGGCTTGGATCAATATGGGATTTCTGCCTAGGACATGTTGTGTTGTTTTGCCCTGGTTTGTTCTGCATTTTAATAAGGCAAAGGGAGAAATGATGGTGTGTAATATTTTTGAGAGTGAATTCAGACAAATTTAGAAAAAGCACCATGTGATGCCTTTTTTCTACTCAGGGCTTATCCAATTCTAGGTCATAACTCAGCTATTTATTATACTGTCATGCATCCCGTGTTTGCAAGCTGACACCTTTTAGGAACTATAGCGTATCTTTAGTTTGGGTTTGTATGGGTGTGGGTGCATTTGTCGTTGGAATGTGGGTCAATTTCTATGATTATTTTTGTTTGGTTTTAGAAACAAGCTCTCAAAGATTCCAGGTTCCTATCAGTTTCATAAAAGCAGCTCATCAGCTTGAGGGAATGAACCCAGTAGCATTTCCTGTAAGCAAAAGCTTTTGCATTTTAGACACTAGAAAATCCAGATATCCAGATTGGGAAGTGCCCAAGCTATATGAAAAATTTACACCAAACTCAGTCAGGTACAAGGTATTGATCCACAGCAAACCAGGCTGCCCAAGTTCTGGTACTCACAGGGCTATTTCTGCACCTTATTGTGGTCTCTGTGCACATAGTATGTGTAATTCAAGACAAAACGCGGTAAATAGGTTGCTTCACATACCAGCTTTGGATGGACCTACCCTGGCTACATGCTTTTGCATGCATGTTAGCTCTGTCTAACTCAGAACCCCTGAGTGCTCAGGTGGGGAATGCTATCAAACCCTGCAGTATGCCAGCAAAATTTAATGGAAGAGTATTTGAGTAAAAAAAATTAAGAATAAGAACTGATGCATTAAAAAATCCTTTCTTGTTTGCTACTATAGAATAAACTGTTTGTGTAAAATATTTCCAGTCTAACTGCGAAAAATTCCCGTGGCGATTTTGTGCCTGTGTCTGTGTTTCTGTGTGTCTCTTGGGAACTGCTGAATGATTCAGATAAGTTTCAGCTGGATTCGTAAAACAAAATCTGTCAGTCTCTGAGTATTTTTCATCTCTGACACTTTGTTGTTTTGGTGGGGTTTTTTTCTCCCTCTTAGGGAAATAAAGTTGCGCTGACAAATCAAGATCTCGTGATCCTGCAATATGACTTGTGAATACAGGCAAAATGTTCTTTGACCAAGGATCCGAAAATGATGCCAAACTCTTACAACTTTGCGATTTTGCAGCAAAGCTTATGTATTATTCTCAAAAGAGAAAAAAAGAAGGCGGGGGAGGGAAACTTATGTGTTGGTGCAGTGTGTGGCTGTGCACTTGTCTCTGCTCAGGTTCTATATTTAGCTAAAGATGACAATATCATTGCTGCCCTCTAGATGTGTTTATGCTTTGACAGTGTGAAGCTTTTATTCTTATTTTAGGAAACAGATTAATTCACTTATTAGGATATCCTGAAGCTTGATTAATTCAGCAGATGTGCAGTAATGAGACTTTCTGCTGCTTGCAAAGAAGTGGTTGTACAGGTTAAGACACACAAATGCAGGTAATTCTAAGTAGGTATCAACAGCTAATTTAAGTACCTAAGATTTAATACAAGTTAGTGGAGCTCTAATTGACACAGGGGACAAAGCCTTAGGGAGTTACTCAGCTTGGTCTAAATGTACAGATCTGTTCAGTAGTCCATGCAGAAGTGCTAGTGCCAGTTGATATGTCCAGGGGTATTTTGCATGGTATCTAGTTCCTGTTCCAGAGGGCCAAGACCTTGTGAAGGTTTGTGCTTTTATCTTCCAAGCCATAAAGGTGTTTCAGATACACTAAGACAAATGATATGATGCCTGTATTTAGGCAGCTGAATTCATCCCTGGGTGTCTGTTGAGCTGAACTGAATGCACACCTGGGGATTGAGGTAAGACTGCTTTTGTGATCAACTGGAAGAAAAGGTCTCTATAGCTCTTAACTCCCTCTCTGCAAATCCTGTCACCCCCTCTTAGGACAGGAAAGCTCTTTGGTTGAGGTAGCTGCTTCAGACGAGTGGTTTGGGTATTGCAAAAAGCATCCTCATCTTCTTCAGGGACTATGCTGCCAAAACCAGGCACATAAGCACTGCTAACCTTGCACTGATGGGGATTTGGTCCCTCCTTCCCTACTCCTTGTTCTGAGGGGGTGCACACTATCTTTTCCTTGGTGGCCCTCTAACCAACTGCCTTTTTGAGGATGATTTGGAGAGGGCTGGTGACTTAGCAACTGGACTGTTGTTCACACAGATGAACATCAGAGCCACTGGAACAGGTATCACAGTTGTACCTGTTGACTTAGTTTACTCCACACTAAAAGAAAAATTCCTGCAGTTATTTGATGTCTTGTCTTGAACAGAGGCAAATAATATTTTGTGTGCTTGGGGGAAGGGTGAAGAAGTAAATTAATAGCTTTTCTGTTTTGCATCCACCACCCCTCCCCCTTTTGAAAGGGGTTAAAGAGATTATTTAATTTTCAAAAGAGCAAAAGAGCTATTTTCCATAGGTTAAACAGCCATTCTTTTATCAAGATCTAAACTCTACTGCTTTTCTTCCTGATTAATTGTTGT